TCTGGGTGATTCCAGCATCCATGGGTCCTGTAATGGAGAGTGACATAGACTGATGTCATCTCTGGAAGAAGGCTTATCTCGAGGATTCTAGGGAACAGAGCCATCCTGTACTCACCTGCCCATAGGAGACAAAGAATAGCCTGAAAGAAGAGCCTGGGGACCATTTCTGGTGAAGGGCAGGATCTTCTGTCTTCTAGTTTTGTTTTTGGGAAATAGAACTTGGGCTGTCAGCCACTCTTGACGTCACTGTCCTTCACAAAGGCTTGAGCTGCAGAGCTACCCTTCCCCACCCCTTCCCCACAGGAACAAATCATTAATATATACAAAGTTGAATATCTCAGAATGAGAAGGATTTTTAAGTCTGCTTTTTGAAGAAATCTTACAGGTATATATACTTTTATTCTGCCTTTTAGTAAGGAAATGCATTCCTCTATGAATAATGATATAATTCCTTATTTGTATACTATTACATTTTTTCATAATATTTCTGTAGACTAAGAAATATTATTATGATGGTTTAGGTACGTTTATGACTTTTCTGCTCAAAATTTGTCTCCAAATACCTTTCACTAGTTTTTCTCTTTGCTTTAACTCTGGATAATTGGATGTCACCCTTTGATGTTTTTTGTTGTGTTGTGTTGTTTTGTTTTGCTTTGTTGTTTTGTTTTGTTTTAAAACAACCATGCCCAGAAAGTTTCCAAAGTCTCAAGGTCAGGGCCATTGGAATTTAAAGAATTATTTTCCATTGTCTCACAATTCACTGACTGATGGGAGCCCTGCCATCTGTGTGTAGGTCTCTGTGCTGTCATGAGTGAGACTCCTTTGTTTCAGATGAGGCCACGGAGCACTGGACCACTTCAGTTCCATGACTATGCTTTCCGTGAAAAAAAGATGAAGCTCATTAGCCACATGGCTGAGATATCCACCCCGCGGTACACATGTTTGATGCCACCAGGGTCACAGGGAAGTGTTTTGTCTCCATTCAGAAGGTCTTTCACCCACCACATGGGTGAATATTGATGGAATGCTAAGTTTGCTGTAGTGTAAAACTTGCAGCTAGTCAATATCAGTACATACTGTTCTTTCATATGTAGGTTGTTTCTCAGTGTGAAGCTTCCCTATCTCTGTGACTGCCTATCTTGATATAGTCCTGATGGGTAATTCCTATAATCACACAGTAGTGAAAAGGGACATGGAATCAGACATCAGACACAGGGTAGAGGCTGATGTAGTACCACATGGAAAAGCTTGTGGCTGAGGCCTGTCAAACCCAGGAAGGACTTTCCCCTCTATGCCCAGGACTCACTTAGTCCCATTAGACTAAGAACCACACAGCAAAGAAGCCTACTCCCCATCTCCCCATGGCTGGGTCAGTACAAATAGGAGGAATTTTTCCATTAGGACTCATATTCTTTGGCATAGGGTATGTGGAATCCCACCGATCTAAGGATCGTTCTCACAATAAAGTATGATCTACCCAGAATATCAGTATTCTCAATACCTAGTTTCTTTAGGGAGTTAAACATTTACAAGGAATATTTCTTTTCAAATTTATTTTTAAATTAGTTAAGTATTGAGTCACTAATTTATCATGAAATTTGCCAAAAACATAGACCTCATCTTGAAGCTTTGTGTGTGTTGTTTTGTTTTGCCCTCGTGTTTCCCAAACCCTGGAACCCTTCATACACACGGTGAACAGTGAAGGGTGGGTTGTCCATGAAGTTAGTGAATAACTTTAGGCCCTTCTCATTTACCCAGGACATTTGTAAGACTTAAAATAAAATTTCTATTCTCTTTCTCAAAGAGCACTCTAAAATGTATAAGGTTTAGGTTCTAGGAAACCTGGATCTGCTTTGCACTGGTATTCAATACGTATGTGTTGAATTCATGAAGAAAGCTCAGGCAGACTCTCCTCCTGTAAACATAACCCTAGTCTATTCAGTTACAGATAGGCTTTGGAGCTTCTACGGAGCAGAGACCCATATGAGTCTGTTGGGAATTCAAAATAAACTGAAATGAACTGGGAAAAGATTTATTCATATATGTTACTATAAGACTTTGAATGAATGGATGGCAATATGAATGAAAGAAAAATGGCGGTCTCTTCCAAAGGGAAAGGTCTTGTGACAGTCACTTCATTCCATCACTGTCAGAGAGCAGGGATGATGAAAGAGGGGAGGTGAAAATCAGGATAAAGAAACAAAATTGAGGATGTGCTGGGGCAAGAGGAGATGGGTTGCAATGGGACCTTCTGAGAAGCCCATGAAATGCCACCCCAAGTATTCCCCCTGAATGCGGACACTAGAGCTTTCATGTCTGGGCTCCTGTCCCTCCAGGAGTATTAGAACCCCTGCAGCTCTGGCTGCCCTTCTGTAGGCTAAGTGGGCTCGTATGATGTCGCAGAGGGCCCTGGGGCAGAAAATAGAGGGATCCTGGGGTGCATATGAGGGGTGCTGTCAGCACAAGGTGGACAGAAGCAGACTTGCATGAACATATTGTGCACAGTAGTGGAGGCTGAAATCAGAGGTAGGGCAGAAGTTACTAGAAGCCCCACCATGATGGACTCTCTTGAATGAAATTGTCTCCCCGCCCTTTTTTAACGTTTATTCATTTTTGAGAGACAGAGAGAGACAGAGCTTAAGCGGGGGAGGGGCAGAGAGAGAGAGAGGGAGACACAGGATCAGAAGCAGGCTCCAGGCTCTGAGCTGTCAGCACAAAGCCCAACGTGAGGCTCCAAGTCATGAACTGAGCTGAAGTTGGACGCTTAACCGAGAACCTCCCGGGCACCCCTGGAAACTCTCGAAACTGTCCCTTCTATCAGACCTTTTATGTGATCATCAATTGCACTGAAGCCAAAACTTTCTGCGCCACCCCTTGCTGCATATCAGATTTAATATCAAACATCAAGAATGGTCATAGGCCTCATTTTTGCCTTCCCTTAAGTGGCACCTCTTTGCAGTGAATTTCGCATAATAAATGATCAGACTACTGTATTTACATTTCAGAGGACTTTGTGTCTGGAACACAGGTGAGTCAGGCAAGAGTAATCCGTGCCTGCCTCTGATCCCAGAATTGCACCCAGTAAATAATTGTGCTAGACCAGAGATTTATCAGCATTAACAGGGGAACTAAGACTTCTTGGGCCTATACTTTGTCTTGGGGACAAAGTTTTATCTTTTTCTTGCATAAAGTCTCTGCAAGACACACCTTTTTAAAAATATTTTTATTTATTTCTAGGAGAGAGAGAGAGAGACAGTGTGAGCAGGGAAGGGTCAGAGAGAGAGGGAGATACAGACTCTGAAATAGGCTCCAGGCTCTGAACTGGCAGTCAGCACAGAGCCTGACACGGGGCTCGAACCCACGAACTGCGAGATCATGACCTAAGTGAAAGTCGGACGCTTAACCAACTAAGCCACCCAGGCACCCCTCTGCAAGACACATATTATTGGCATCAGTTTACAAGTGGGAAAACCCAGCCAAATATTTCCCCGGGTCACCAGTCCCAAGCAGGTCAGAATACGAACAGACAGAAGTATCAAGCCTCCGAAGTCCTCCTTGGCAGGCAGCCTCCCAGCTGAACGGTGAATAAAGTGTCAGTGCCAGTGTTTCTGAAAGGCACTTTTGGGTCAAATTCCAGTCGTGAAGATGTCTCCCTCTACGAAAATGCAGAAGCAGGCAGCAGTGGGGTCAGCATGGCCTAGGTTTGTGTGCCAATCTGCTACCTGTGAGTTGTGCCTTCTTCAGCAAATCACCTAAACTTTAACAACTGGCACTTTCACCTGAAATGTGGGTAAATTGTTCTATCTCACATGTGTCTTAAGAAAACTAATTGAAATAATGTACTTAAGTATAGGGCACATTGAGACATTGGGGCGCCTGGGTGGCTCAGTCAGTTAAGCATCCAGCTTTGGCTCAGGTCATGACCTCATGGTTGGTGAGTTCGAGGCCTGACAGTGCATAGTTAGCTTGGGATTCTCTCTCTCCCCCCAGCTGCTCCCCTACTCGTGCTTTCTCTCTCTCTCAAACAAGTAAACTTAAAAAAAATTAGTATAGGGCACAGAGAAAATGGGCGACACATAGGGGAATTTTCGATAACTTCACATAAAGGACTAGAGTTAAAACTGCATTCGCTAATAAACTTGGACCTGCCAGCTGTAAATGGCAATGCCATTTACTAGCTGTGACTTTCTGTTATTTTCTGCAGTTACCGACCTGGGGCAGAAGTCACAATTTCTGCTTTTCTGATCGAAAGTGCTAGGCGTGAGAAGGAGCTGCAGGCTCAGACACCTCCCTGCGTTCCAGAACTTCCAGTGGTTTAAAAACACTCTTCCCCGTATTAACTCTCATTCTGCTTGGAATTCCCAGAGAGCTCCTGTTTCCATGGCTGAATCCTCTGATAGGCTAAAAGCCCCCTAGCGGCTTCACTCCTGTTCTGGGGGACACCCTGGCCCCCCTCTAATGAAGTAAGACAGGACAAACACACATTCTCTGGCTTGAAGCTAGTCCTAGAAGTGGGCAGACAATAGTCACAGTCACCCCACATCATGACGTGTGACCTCCTCACCACAGCTCAGCTGGCCCTGAAATGGAAAAGACGGTGCCCTGCTACGTCATATGGACCAAGGCCCAGGAAACACCATGGAATTTTAGGGAAATGCTGATTTCAGAGGCACGGGGACATAGGTTTGGCTCCCATCTCTGCCACTGGAGATACGAAATCTTTGGAAAGTCCATGAGCTACTGTTTCTTGTCTATAATATGGCATCCGGAGATCTTCCTCATCTGTGGAATGGACACACTAATGTCTACCCTCTGTTTAAACACGTACTGTACGCAGGGTAGCCCAGCGCGGGGGCTCCTGACACTTGCTACAGACTGCAAGAATATCCCAAAATGCTCAGGAGTGCTCTGACTGAGCTCAGCAAGGCAGAGTGTTGGGAAAAAAGTAGAAGCTCCGCTGGAAGTTGGCTGAGGCCCCTTCCCCTCTCCCTCTTACATCGTCAGTTGGGACAGGAACGTTTGAGTACAGAGAGCGGGTCTGGCCGCAGGGCTGTGCCTAAGCTGCTGGCACACAGATACGAGGCTGAGTCTCCCAGCTCCAGGGAGCTCATGTTCAGCTGGGAGTAGTCACTGAACTGTTGAAAGGAGAAGTGACTGGGGACGTTTCCCTTCTCTCTCGGCTTCTGGTTAAAATATTCAATGAGGAACTGGGGGCCTTGCCCCGGAGCCTGCTGGTACCAGCTCACACTTCTGTGTCCAGAGATAGGATGGCATTTCAGAATGGCCTGCCCCCCGCTGCCTTTGATCAGGTGCCTGGGGAACTGGGTGACCTCAGCGCCCGCTGTACCTGTGGAGGGAGGAGAGAGTGGCTGACGACGTGGTCCAGGAGGGAGCTTGAGATTCTAGCAGCAGTTCAAGGGATGTCCCACCTGAGCTCAGGACTCACCTGTCCCCAGGAGACAGAGGGCCACACAGCAGAGCAGCTGGATGCCCCTGGCCAACTCAGACAGGACAGGACTCGCCATTTTCCTACTCAGGGCTCCTGTCTCCTCCCTTTTCTCTGTTTGGAGGGCTTGCCTGTGACATCACTGTTCTGATGTCACTGTCCTCCCGCCGGCACCCTGCACTGCCTGGACAGGCTCAGCGGATGCACGCCCTCCTCCATCCTGTCCAGAGGCCTATTGGGCAGGGGTGCAGGCCGGGCTAAGCCAGACTGGGCAGGGTTGGGTTGGTGGCCATCCTCCATTCTCTGTTTTCCTCTGGGCTCCTCTCTCTGCACCTCACTTGGGTTATCCAGGCTGCCCCCCTAAAGCCCCGTCACACTCTGTACTAGTGGAGGCTCTGAGAGAGGCCTTAAACCAAGAAACGTGGAGTTCATATAGCTCCCTGTTGTGGCAAACGCACCTGAGCATCAGCTCCTGTGAGAAGACTATGATCAGCCCTTCCCGTGCCAGCACTAACTGATTCACCAAAGAACTATCTCCTGATGCAGGACCAAGGCACTGCCTCTGCTTAAACCCCCCTCTCTCGCAGCCGCTGCCCTCAGTGGCTCGCTCAGTGGTCCCACAGCGCCCTCAAGTGGCCCAAGCAGGCCAGGTACTGTCAGAATTGGGCGCAGAACACCTCTCTGGGATTGGACACTCACCTATATCAAGCTCATCCTTTGCGCGTGTTCATGAAGGAGGCACGAAGCAAACGTTTTTCCAAGAAAAGAATAAATATTCTAAATCTCATCAGTTAGTGTTCTAGGAAAGGGCATACTAGCCAGTCATTAGATGCCAGCTTCTCCCCCCCAACCCCCACCCCGGGGGAGGGATAGGACTTGGGGCAAAGTGCTGTCTTTAACCAAAGGTAATTCTTGCAAGTGGCTGATGGTAGAGTTCTAGCAGCCAAAAAAAATCTAAGCAGCTGGGGAAATAAACCCATCAATCCAGTGAAGAGGGAAGTGCCTACTTACACACACACACACACACACACACACACACACACACACACACATTTTGAATACCCTATTCACATCTTTTGCTCTATTTAAAAAGTTGAGTTACTTGTCTTTTTATATTATTGACTTCAAGGAATTCTGTACATTGTGGACACCTGTCCTCTCTCACATAGCCATCTATCTGTCTATCTTAATATCTTTTTGCTGGAGACCCGCTCCAGCCGGTCCAGGGTTCCCTGAGGGATGGATGGTGTCGGCGAGAGAGAGTGAGAGAGCCCCGAGATTCTTTCTGATCGCCAGGCAGGCATTCCCGTCCCGTCAGTTTGGGTGTCTTTATTTAATAAAGTCCAATGACAACATGAGATCAGAAAAAGGAATTTTTACAACGGAAACTTCTTTGTGATAAGATGCTTTGGAAAGTGTACAAGAACAGGTTTTTTGGAAATATTCTTGCAGAATTACCCCAATCATAGTGAGGGTGAGTAAATCTTACAACTATGGAAATAATAGGATGTTCTTAGTGAAAAACAGGATGGCATACATATTTGTTCTGCTAATAACGCTAGAATTAGGACATAGGTTAAGTCGTATATCGATAGGCTGGGAGTCATTCTGTCTGGCTCTCAAGAGGACGAATATTTTTGAGCTGGTTAATAAGTCATTTGTGGAACTTGTTTGGACTTGATGCTGAATGTGTAAACACCATGGAGGCCTTAAATTGTCGGCCTTTGTCTTTGGGTTATGTTTTAGCTCCTCTTATCTATCCTCATCCCAGCTGCCCCTGTAAGGGAGGGTGTTTGTGGAAAGTAGGCCTTGGGGAAGGGACAGCCATACATCACCAGTTAGAAAAGGTGTTAAGTATTAACTTAAGTTCTGCCCTTATCTGTTCCTTAACTCTAAATTAGGCTCTTTGTCTCGGGCCAGGCTCAATTGTAACTCCTGTGTTCTTAACCCCCCTTTTTAAAATCTAAGTCTTGGATCTGCAAGGCCCATAGGAAGAGTCTTTTGACAATCATCCACAGTGCTTTCATCTAAAATCTCTTTTGAAAAGCAGGAATATGCTTTTCCTTATATCTGTGTGCGGAATATCGGTCTGATATGGAATATTGTGAGGCCTGGTCAACACCAGCAGGCTCATCTCCAACATGAGCCAGTAGTAGTAGAAGGAGATACCAGTTTTCGTTTCTCATGGCAGGAGCTGTGCAAACACTGCCATTTCCTCGCTGTGACTGCCATCCAGCGAGGCCGGTGGGGCTCCCAGCATCTTTTGATGAACAGAATTTCTAACTTTTTGATAAAGAAAAATTTACTTTTTCAAGATGAGAACATTTGTGTGGTCTCTTCAAGAAATCTTTGCCCACTTTAGGGTCAGGAAGAGAATGTGCTATGTTTTCTTTCAGAAGCTTTATAGTTCATAAGCTGTAGAGATCATCAAGAATGTCCACCAGGCTCGGGATGCCTGGGTGGCTGAGTCGGTTAAGCTTCCGACTTTCGCTTAGGTTATGATCTCGCGGTTCGTGGGTTCGAGCCCCGCGTCGGGCTCTGTGCTGACTGCCAGCTCAGAGCCTGGAGCCTGTTTCGGAGTCTGTGTCTCCCTCTCTCTCTGACCCTCCCCTGCTCACGCTGTCTCTCTCTCTCTGTCCTAGAAATAAATAAAAATATTAAAAAAAAAAAAAAGAATGTTGACTAGGCTCATCATAATTTTTCGTTATGGCAAGAGCCAGCAAGCCTTTTCTGTAAGGGGTCAGAAGGCACTTGGTGTCAGAGTGGTGGTGCCCTAAGGTCCCCGTTCTCACCCCTCGCTCCACCATCTTCATGCAAACACAGCTGGGGACAAAATGTAAAGCAAAGGGCAGGGCTGATCTTCCAACAAAACTTTCTTTATGGATACTGAAATCTGAATTTCATATAATTACCATCTGTCACAAAATATTGTTCTTTTTATTCCTTTTAACCATTAAAAAATGTAGAGACCATTATTAACTTTAGGGCCATATAAAAGCAGGCAGACAAGGTACCCGGGTAGCTCAGTCGACTGAGTGTCTATGGCTCAGGTCATGATCTCACAGTTCGTGAGTTCAAGCCCCTCATTGGGCTTTGTGCTGACAGCACAGAGCCTGGAGCCTGCTTCAGAATGTTTCCATCTTTCTCTGCCCCTCCCCTGCTTGCTCCCTCTCTGTCTCTCTCTCTCAAATATAAATAAAAATTTAAAAAGTTTACAAAAAATAGCAGGCATAGGCCATGTTTGGGCTGTGGGCCTTAGTTTACCCAATATGAATTTATGGTCTGAGATGAGTGTTGAGATTCATCCTTTTCCCATGTGGATATAAGTTCTTCCAGCACCATTTGTTGGGAAGACTATTTTCCTCTCTTCATGCTACTTCCAGTGTTTGGGCAAAGGATTACAACAGGCATCTTTAATTTATCATACTCTGCCTGTAAAAACCGTAGTTTTTAATGATTATTTCTTTATTCATACCCTTTATTAGGGGAAAGAAGTTTCTAATTCTCCTTATACACAAAAAGTTTTTATCAGCAATGGATGTTGGATTTTTCAACTGTTTTTTGAACATCTGTAGAGGTGATCATATGATTGTCCTTTTTTAGTGTTTGATATGGTAAATCACATTGATAGTTTTTTTGAGTTTGATTTGGATTTTGACTTAACTTTGAACACATAGGATATAGTTATAGCAACTGTTTTAAGATCTTTGTCTACCAATTTGTCATAAGGTGGTTTGTTTCTGTTCGTTGATTTTTCTCCCCATTATGGGTCATATTTTCCTGCTTCTTTGCATGCCTGTAATCTTTGATTAGATGCCAAACATTGTGTACTTAACATTTTTAAGTGCTAGATGTTTCTATACTTCCAAGATATTCTTGGCTTTATTCTGTGATTCAGTTAAATTAGTTGGAAACAAAAAGCAAATAATTCCTAGCAGGCATTTACTCTTGAAGAATTTGACAAGCTTATTCTACACAAGGGTCAAGAGTGGTCAAGAACTCTTAATAAAAAGGAACAAAGCTTGAGAAATTAGACTTCCCGCTATTGAGAACTATTATAAAGCTATAATAATCAAGACAGTGTGTTATTTGTGCAGGCACTGACAAAACAAGCCAATGTAACAGATTGAAGATGTAAGAAAACAGACCCACACATATCCAACGACTGATTTATGACAAAAGTGATATTACAGAGTAGTGAGGAAAGTATTCTTCAACAAACAGTATTGGGTCCATTGGGAAAAACATATGGAAAAACATATTGACTTCTTCCCCATTTCATATGCAAAGAATTAATTCCAGTTGGACTGCAAATCTAAATGTAAAAAGGTGTAAAATATAAAGAATTTAGAAGAAAATGTAAGAAAGCATGATCATTCTGAAGTAGGCAAAGATTTCCTAAACTAGACACCAGAATACCAAATGGAAACCAAAAACGGGCAAAATGGAATGATTTTTGATGGAAAATTTCTGTTTATCAAAAGACACCATTAAGAGAGTGGAAGAGTAACCACAGTGTATGCGTGTGTGTGCATGTGTGTGTGAGCATGAGCATGCGTGAGAGTGTGCGCATGCGTGTGCGTGTGTGCGTGTGCGCACCAGCTGAAACCCTCCTGTACCTGTGGTGGGAATGTCATCCAGCACAGCTACTTTGGAAACCTCAGAGTCCCAAATGGCTGACATAACTGTCATTCAGGTCTTCTTTGAATCACTTCCTTTAAACACCTTCTCAAGTGGAGGTATATTTTATGAAAACCAAGCTAGGCTTCTATTAAAAAAAAAAAAAACTAGAGAAGAAAGAAACTAAACACAGAATAACTATAAGATTGTCAAGAAATTAAAACACAGCACATAAACATATGTTAATGTGCATTGTTGCGGCTGGTGGTTGTTTTGGATAAATGATAGCAGTGGCAATTGTTACTAAGGATTCTAATTTATTTATCTTTAGGGCTGGTAGCTACATATGGCCTTAGCAGTGTTCCATATTGGCTGGCCCACCCCTGGGCAGAGTGTGGCCTGAATTAGTGACACTGAGTAATAGGAGTTTATTATAAATGTGCTGAAACTTCTTAGTTTTACAAGAGACTATGTCACTATATCTGAGTCTAAGCTCTGATATTCTATCCCAATTATAGAATCTTTTTTTAAAAAGTTTATTTATTTATTTTGAGAAAGAGAGAGTGTGCTAATGGAGGAGGGGCAGAGAGAGTGTGAGAGAAAGAATCGGAAGCAGGCTCCACACTGTCAGCACGGAGCCCAGTGTGGGGCTTGAACTCACCAACTGTGAGAACATGACCTGAGCTGAAATCCAGAGTCAGATGCTTAACCCGCTGAGCGACCAGGCACCCCTAGAATCTTGAACTGTATAAAGGAATCCCAGAAGCACATAAGCCAAAATTATTATAACCCAATAGATGTTCTGGTATTTTGAAGGTTATTTTTTGACCTTTTACTATCAGAAGAAGAGCTGAAATCCCAAATCCACATATTACCCCTGATGAAGAAGTAATTCAAACAAAGAGTAATTCAAACAAAATCCTTTGTGCGGGGATTCTATAACTATGAGAAGCAAGCGCATGAGGTTGGTGAAGAGGAAGGAGGTGGCTGTGCCCCACTGTGGTAAGGCTGCTGGCACAGAGGTACACAGCCCAGTCCCCCGGCTCTGCTTGCTGGATCTGCAGATTGGAGTAGGTGCCCTCAGGCCTCTTTGCCTGGAACCGATCATTCTTGGGCGTCCCTGTTATGTCTACTTTGTTCTTGTTTTGGAAGTAAATTAACAACTCCGGGCCTTGCCCCTGGGCCTGTCGGTACCAAAAAAGGCCAGCGTGACCAGAAATTGGATCACACCTGAAGGTCACATTCCAGCCCTGCATTGTGACCTTGTGCCGGGGGGACTGGAGGACACCAGCTCCTGTGTGACCTGTGGAAACAAAGTTGGGAACAGTGGGGGGGAAATCAACTATAATCATTGCACACGGTCATCACTCACACTCACACACAGGTGCTCACGGGCTCACTGAAACTGCTTGGTTTTCTGAGGACGTACCTGCCCCCAGGAGACAGAGGGCCACGCAGCAGAGGAGCCTGGTGCCCATGGCGGGGTCAGAAGAGGACCCGGTTGTTCAGCACATCAGGTTCTCCTGAGCATGAGCCGAGGAGGAGGGAGGTCCTTCATGCACAAGGCAGTTCCCTTAGTGACATCACTGAGCCGCACACTCACCTGCTATTAACGAATTAAATCTAAGGTGCCAGCCACCTGAAGATGCACCATGACCATTAAGGAAGAAAAAAGATGAGTGTCACTCATATTCAGAAATGTTAAAAGGAAAAAACGTATGAGGCATAGAATGAATGGAAACTGGTCATTTGAAAGTAGACTGACATAAACAGAGATTCTGTTAGATCCACTGGTGGTGAGCCCTCTGGCCCCCACACTGGGTGTCTGGCCTTCTGCTTTTCTGGTGACTTCTCCGTGTATATGTGTGTGTGTGTGTGTGTGTGTGTGTGTGTGTGCGCACGCGCGCGTGCGCTTGGTACTTCAGACCTGAGGGCTGGAATGCTGGCTTTATCACCTCCCTCTGCATGCTTCTATTTCGACCTCAGCCCTGCGTTTGCCTGATCTAATCTACGGTTTGGGTTACAGGATTTATGGGGCCTGGGGCGGCCACATCTTTGTCCTGAAAGCAGTTCAGACTCACAGTTCAGAGCTTCGAGGGATGAGACCGTGCTTCTGGCAGGTACCAATCTAAGTTGGGATCCTCTATTAATTCTGGGGTTTAAAAGAAGAATTCCTTCTCATCAGTTCATTAAACTCCATACTGCTTTTTGTCCTCAGGTCCTTATTGTGGTGATTCTGGTGTTTCTAAGTCACTTCTAAAATAAATAAATGTCCCAAACGTCCCCTGGAGAAAAAGTCAGGCTGTTTCATTCTTACCATCCTGGTGAGAGGTAAGCAGTAAAGATGGGGTGGGGGGCGGTAAACAGATCCGTGGGGCCCCTAACAGGCTGCACTCTGACCAGAGGTGTGCTTGGAGAGGAGAGAGCACTATTAACCCTTAGTATCTTCTTTATACATGTTGGTTTTTCACTTACAAAACATAGCTTAACCACATGACAACTTTACATTCAGACCCTTGATTGGGTTGCAAGATGTGTGGGGTCTAAACGGGCAAAGTCCAGAAAAGCACGTCCCATGGAACACTTATAAATGTCCATTTTATGTGACTATGCCAAGGGAAAACTATTATGTAAAAGAGCACAAGCCTTTGGTGCACATGAACGGCCTCTCCTTGGTGAGGAGGGTGAGCAGGGAGGTTGGCACATTTGATGTTGCCTTTAGCTGGTGCTGACTATGAATTGTTAAGGCTTCTATCTCTGAAAGACTGGCCACCACCAAAGAGAGGAGGTGCTGACTCCTCATTCCAGAACAAACTTCAAGGAATCTCAAGATTTGAAAAGGAAGGAGCATGAGCGCCCTCTAGTGCCTATTTTCCAAACTCAGTAAAAATAAGTTGGTATTTTCACAGGCTAGAAACGCTTGTCTTTTCTTTCTTTTTTTAATTTTATTTAAATCCAAGTTAGTTAACATATAGTGTAGCAATGGTTTCGGGAGTAGAATTTAGTGATCATCACTTACATGGAACACCCAGTGCTCATCCCAGCAAGGGCCCTCCTTAATGCCCATCCCCATCTAGCCCATCTCCTACCCCCAACACTCCGTGGCAACCCTCAGTTTGCTCTTTGTTTCTAATTCAAGCAGCATTGTTACAAGCTGATTGTGATGTTATCTCAGGGCTTGTCAACAGGTCACAGGTTCCTCAAAAAAGGTCTTTGCAAATAAGTGGGAAGAGATGCTGCCTCCGGGGAAGATGTTCTGAACGCAGTCTTTGTAAGGTTTGACTCTTTGAAATAAATAGTCTATTTTTGGTCTTCCCCTGCCTTAGGAGATGAAGCTGCATTAGTCTTTAAAGCTTTGATGTGAATCATTCAGGCAAAACTGGGGTTTCAGTCTCTCCTTGGGCCATCCTAGGCAACTGTTTTGTTATTTCCACACAGAAAGATTCTTACAATTCTTCAAGGACAATTACATTCTTCTAGGACGAATACATGGCCTCTCTCTAGAAGTGGAGGCTCTGAGGTCACAAACAGCCTTACTTCTCTGGCAAAGGAGGGGGAGCTGGGAAAGTCCTGCACCCCATCCACACCACTGTCAGGGTGCCAGCGGAGGGAGGCCAGGGCACAGGGATGAGGGACCCTCAGCTCCGTGACTCTGGTGTTGCCCAGGGATACATGGGCGTGGACATCCATGACATGGGTCAGGGTATCAGGCTGGTTACTTCGGCCCCTAACATATCCCATGGGTATGTGTGCCTTGGGAATCACCTGCCCGCCCCACCCCCACAACATAATTGAGGAGTCATTTTTCTTTTTTCTCCATCACCTTTGAATACTTGTCTTTAACATCCTGTTTCTGATCATTCTGCCCGTTTGGGAGCCCCCCAAATCCATGGAGCCTGCAAGGGAAGGCAATGGAAGGAAGAGAAAGTGGAGGAAGCTGGTAGGAAGGTATAAAGCTGCAGCCCTGTGTAAGGCTTCGGATCCACTTACACAAGCCCATGATAGGGCATTCTCATCCTTTCCCATGGTTCACTTGATTCCAGGAGATATAAAGCTGGAAAGTCCCAGGTGACGTGGCCAGACCTCCGGGGGGCCCTAATCAGGTACCCGGGTGGTCTTCCCTCTGCTGTTTGCACTGGCGATAAGACGGGGAACAAAGCCACCCACAGTCCCTGCACTGCTGAGCTCTACAGCCTAGAGAGCGAGAAGGTTGCCATTAAACAGTCACACAGTTGGTGTGCGATGCCGGCTGGATACCTTAAGCCCAGCGTACCTGCACGAAGGGGCTGGCCAGGTAGTTCACTGCGCAGTGGTCCCCAGGGGGAGAGCTGCAGCGGACAGAACGTTAGGCAGGGGACATGGTCTTTTGCTGGCGAGCAGCAGGACGCCCGTGGGGAGAGAAGTGAGCAGAGGTCAGTGTGTCTGAGATGGAATTAAGGGCCCAGGGGAGCTCACAGGACAGGACAAAGCTTTGTGTCTGAGACAAAGATGGCTTGGAGTGGGGACAGAAATCTAGACCCATCATCTCAAGACTGATGTCAAGCAGTCTCCCCTTTCTGTAAGCAGCTGGGTTACAGGAATTGCTCTGGAAGTCAGGGACTATGACAGGTGGATGGTGTCCGGGCATTGCCTGGCCCAGTGCAAAGCAGGCCCATGCACGGGCTGCATGGAGCCCTGAGGGGCCCCGTGCTGGGAAGCCCAGGAGAGGCTGCCTTGGGGCGACCTCCTCCCTGATGGGGGAAAGGCCCAGCCATGACTTCCGCCGGCCTGTCTGCGCAGGGGAGGTGGCTGTGGGGTGACAGCTGAACAAGAAGACACAGAGGTCAAGGACAGACTGTCGGACTCGAGGACAACATCTTTGGCCGTGACAGAAGGCCACAGGGCCCATCAGGGATACTCTTATCAGCTTAGCCCCGCTTGGGGTCCACCTGTGCATACAGCCGTGGACAACAACCATATGCATCACATTGTCCCTTTCTGTCTTGTTCTTGTTACTTTGGGGGTCTGGGTAGTTCCCATATCCGTGGCATCTGAGGCGAGAGAAGCCAAAGTTGGCGACAGTGCCAAGGAGGGACCCTGATAGGGTAGACTCAAAGTAAAGGCTTAGAATAGGCTTCGTACACCCCAGGACAGGGCTTTAGAGAGCTCACGGGCCCCAGGGGACAAAGGGCCACATAGCAGAGGAGCCTGGTGGCCATGCAGAGTCAGGGCAGAACAGGGGATGGAGGGGACCTTTCTCCAGTCTGGGTGTTGGGGAAATAGGAACTGGCTCTCAGTGGAGCCAGCCAGTGACTCCTTCATCCACTTCCTACCTCTGTCTACCCTCAACCACCCTCCACATCCAGCCATAGACCTTCATTCATACGGTCTCTGCTCCTGGCTGCCTTTCTTCAATGAGGTAGTAGCACTACTGTAAGGCTACAAGTCTAACCATCTAAACCAAACTGACTCCATGACAGGCTTTAAGTTTCCCCTCTAAACTAGAAGGCCTGAGTTTCGGCTTCCCCGAAACTATCAGGCAGTTACACATTGCCCAAGGCAGGAGAAACCACCCTTGCAACACCCAATCAGGAAAGGCCAGCGACCACCCTCCACATTATTAAGGGAGAGGCCTGGAGATAGAAACTATAGATAGGACCCTGTTACCTAATGTTAAAGTTAACCCGTTAGTCTCCGAATAAGACCCTAGGCTCGCTCTGTGATTGGTTGAATTTAAAGGTACTCTAAACGTTGTAATTGGATCCCGCCAAAAGTAACGAATACTCTAGACAATGTGTATGGTCAAACCCGCTGTCAATGATGTTGTATAATTATGATTGGATCACGGTTCCCATGTCACAACTTCTGTTAGTCCCCCGTCTCAAACCCCATAAAAACCCTACTCTGCCCTTGTTCGGGGCTCTCAGCACGGATCCTTGCGCTGGTGAAGTCTGTGAGCCCGAGCTCGAGCCCTTAATAAAGCCCTTTGCCTTTGCTTGCGTGACTCGGTCTCCCTGGTGGTCTCTTGCCAGTGAGGATACTGTGATCTGGGTGTAACACTACAAGGTCCTATACCTTTTGAGCCCCCTCTTCCTCCACCTCCCCCCGGCTCTGTCTGCCTCAGCCTCACTCAAGTGCTTCCAGTTTTTTCCTTGCACCTGGCGTGTTCTTTTCGTCCCTCGGGATCTTTTGTTACAGGCTATTTGTTCTGCCCCGAATGAACATTTGTCCCTTGGTCTTTTTCCTGGATCTCCACTCCATTCCTCACATGAAAATATATTCCAGGTATGTTTAGTCTTTCTTGTGAAAAGTAAAATTTTAATTTTCCTGGAACACATTAAGGAAAATACTTTTAGGCTTTCATGTAAGGAAGGATTTGTTTAGTGGGAGATGCCAAGAAAACTGTAATCTCAGCCGTATCACATTAACTCACATACAGCAAAGCACACCGTAAAAATGAAAATGTAAACCACAGGCTAGGAACGGACGTGAGGAATGTGTACAGATGATGAGGGACCCGTGTGGAATTATACGTCCTTCAGAGCTACCACGGAGAGGCCACGATGGTGCATGAGTTTTCCATGACTGCCCAGCTAGACCGCAGCGGGCCCTGGGGTTGCCTGGGCCTTCAGCTACTGACTGGGAGGCTCAGAGGCTATGGATGGA